AAGCCTACAAATGAACATTGTGGCTATATGCGTGGCCATGCGTCCAAATTGCTTCTGGCACGGTGAAATTATTGATACTACCACTGGCGTCGAATTGAATTTCGCCGAAATTCGCCTTTCCGTGTATGGAGACATCCGACGTGAATTCCACACCCGGGGCTAGGGAAAACCGGCCTAACCCTCGCCGTCTATTGTATTCGCCTGCGGATCAGTACTTGGTTTGTGGTATATTTTTCCACGTGATTTTGGCCGACCGTCCTTTTCAGCTTAAAAAACCTTTATTTAGTTCTGAAGTGCACGTCTGCTTAGCAGTGCTGCCCAAATTGAAAAGAAGTCGCGCAACACGATTTGGCTTGGTCTCGGCATCGGTATACAAAAAAAGCTCTAGAATCAACGGGATCCTTCCAATGCTTTTGCAATCTATCGTTGCCACATCACCTGATTAACTTTTTTCGCTTACAAATCAAGGTTGCTCCATAATTGTAAAATATTAAGAAATCGGTGATACTTTCAGACTGAGTTAAAATAAACAAACATAATTTACTTATTTTACAAGGCAGCCGTAACGATCGCTAAGGTTTTAATCAAATAAATTTATCACCAATTAAACCACAATTTAATTGCTGTTGTCTTCTTTAAAATATACGAATATTCTATAGCACAATCTATTGCTGAACATTTTATCAAGATTGGTTGAGAAACACAGAAGTTATTCAAGAATACGTGTGCTTATTTGTACACGTGTTTGCGGCAGCTTGAGCAAATTGCAAAAATTTCTATATGCATGTAGACATTCACATTCATGCGTGAGTTTGTTAAATTCTATAAACAGAATCGGAATTGTGATTGTTTTCTTACTTCTTGATTTTGAATGTTAATAAAAACGAAAAATTTTATTATACACAACTCTGCATACATTTTTACAAAACCCACAGTATATTTTGTTCGTTCTTTAGTGCTTGTTACCTTTATTTAAAAAAAAAATCATCTTTATCAACGTCCGTATTTTTACGACATTGCATAGCAATACATTTAAAATAATAATCTACTATTAAGTGATGAACGGCCGGAGTGGCTGTGGCTTTCAGTGGCTTTCAGTCTATAGAGTTTCGTCGCATTCGTGTAATGTGCATTCGAGTTCCGTTAATTATTGATTTTTATTTATTTAAATTTTGTGTTTATAATGCAAAAAAGTTTTTTTTAGAAATCATTTAATGCGGAGGCCGACCACTAACTGATAAAGTGTAGTGTAGATTTGTATATACCCATATACATAAATGCATTGCATAAATAAAACAAAGCTTTCAGTCTATAGAGTTTCGTCGCATTCGTGTAATGTGCATTCGAGTTCCGTTAATTATTGATTTTTATTTATTTAAATTTTGTGTTTATAATGCAAAAAAGTTTTTTTTAGAAATCATTTAATGCGGAGGCCGACCACTAACTGATAAAGTGTAGTGTAGATTTGTATATACCCATATACATAAATGCATTGCATAAATAAAACATAACAAGTAAGAAGTTCTAGTCGGTAGCTCCCGACTAGGGGATACCCTGAACTAAAGACAATATAAACACTAAGATGAGCAACGCCCATACATTTGCATGCGACGAAAATTTTCATGCCTGGCGTTTCATCTGGTCTTTGACGCTTCGCTTCAGACGAACGAATGCCGAAGTCGCTGCTTGCTGAAGCGCTTGCTGCCTTCAGCAACGCTGGTCGATGGTGCTTTGCGTCGCTTCGTTTTCGAAGTACAATGAGCGAAAATTTTTAAACTTACGATCGACGCAAAGTACTTTTGCTTTATCCATGAAATGCATGCTTTATTTAAATAATACATTACCCTAGATACTAACTATAAATTTTGCAGGAAAAATTAAGAATAAAATCATTTTTTTACAAAGCGCATCTTGTGTTATAACTATGTTCACAAAAAAGTACACATAGATTGATTTCACTTTTATTTTTGGACAGTGGAGTGGACAGTGCTCGAGCGAAGTTTTTCTCTCAGCCAATGGCGTGCACGCACCTATGTTTGTATGTGTAAATTATGCATGCATAGCTACATCAAAATATGTATATATGTATTGTTATTCACTTCTCTGGATTTGGCTGGCCAAGAAATAAATTTGGTTAGTTTTCTAGTGCTGATCATGCACGATCTTTCCCAAATTTGTATTGACATCTGAATGCATCATCATCCCAAATTTGTATTCACATATGTATGAATGCATGTTGTGTGATGAGGTTGGCTCCGTAGAAAATCTGTTTTTTAAAGTCGATGAAAATATTAATATAATTTCTTTAAGTTAACTTATTAATTAAATTATTATTATTATAGCTGCCTATTTTTTTTTTTTTTACTCTATTATTTTTTAATAAAATAAAAAATAATTAATCATTTATCTTAAAGAAATTATATAAATATTTGCATCGACTTTAAAAAACAGATTTTCTACGGAGCCAACCTCATCACACAACATGCATTCATACATATGTGAATACAAATTTGGGATAGGTCATGCATGATCAGCGCTAGAAATCTAACAAATTTTATTTCTTTGCCAGCTTAAGTTAGAGCTGTGACTAGCAACACATTCAAACATGCTTTTATGTATGTATACTACCAAACATACAAACATACATAATTGCTTGAACGACTGTCATAGAGCCAAAGCTCAGAATACATTCTATTTTTAGCTTTTCGTTCATTCGGCTGTTAGAGCGCAATGATACTGATTTCGTTTTCGTTCTCAAATTTCAAAAAACCAACTGCATAAAAACATTTTGTTGTATGGCGTTACTCGTCTTAGTGTTTATATTGTTTTTGCCTGAACCCTATTATTCCAACACGCTCGTTTGCTTTAGTAGTAATAAAGATAAATATAATAAAAGAAACGTTTTCTTGGCAGGGTTCGAACTCGCAACTAACCACACTACCTGCCGCCGCCTCTACCCAACAGCCACACCAATTATTGAGTCTTAATGAGAAAAAACCAATTAAAATAGCAGCAAAATAGCAATTACAATGCGAATGAATGTGTGCGTGTACATGTATACAGAAATTCTTATAATTTGCGCTAGCTGCATGATCTTCATGAAATTTTCGACAGTACATCTTATTGTAGAATAGAATATAGAATATTTGTGTGTAATCAAAAAGTCAATTTCATATAAATTGTGGCTTAAATTGACGGGCAATACAAGTTGGATTATTAACTTGATTTATAGATTTGAGCTGGTAGCGGGGAGGTGGCGAGGTATAAAATGAAAGATACTTGTTATATATATACTATTCTAGAAGCAACATGTCAAGTTTGGTGACACTAGCTCATATTATTTACCGAAATTGCCCAAAAAACAGGATTTCGATATCGATTTTTATCGATTACTTGGAAATCTGCGCGGGGACCAGGAGGACCTACAATTAAAATTTCAAGAAACAGAGCTGAATAGTCACTCTGAGCTTTTTGTCGTTTAAAGTTCATGAGCAGTGGATCGAGTTGGTCCGCAAACGCTCTTTTAGTATAGGGGGCAACAACAAATCACTTGCAAAACAACAACAGTGCGCACGAAACTAAATTTTTTCGCTAGCGATCGCTACATGTATGTTAGTGTATGTGTCCACACAAGCAAAAAATCGAACAATTTCAATTTTTATTAAATGTAGGAGGCATTTATTCCCCTTGAAAGGGACGAATAATATGAACAAATGAAAGGGTTGGCCACGACGATTCAAAATTCTTGCTTTTTAGCTCGTTATCGTTGGTAAGAGTACCGTAGCGTTGGCATGTGTGCATTTAAAATTTTTCCGACTTGCTATTCACTCACACACACTTATTTTGTATATGAAATTATGCATTTATGCGTTTGTGTGCCTATTGGTTGGTTGCCTGCCTGTCCGATGCAATTATAACAAGATGTGAAGTTTTTGTGATTTCTGAATTTCGAGCTCTACACACGGACACACGCACATAAATGTGTGTGAATGGGCAGATCATGGGCTCAAAAGAAAACTTTATTATCGGCTCGCGTCTGACGCGCCCTTCTTTTATATGATTTTGGGTAGGTGTACAACAAAAATGAATTTTTTTTGTGTCGGTTGCTGCTGCTTCTGGATTGAGTATGGGGGTTTGTTTACCGTCCTATCGGTTTTAAAATCAATTTTAAGGATCTTTGATTGAATTTAATTTATACGTGCCACGGGCAAGGCTTGAGTGTACCCGCTAGTACACTTAGATAGTAACCACTAACATAGATACGTCAAACAGCAGAATAATCGAATGACGATAAATCGCAACAAGTGAGCCCCATGGGTGTCTGCGACCATTTTGTTATGCCCAGAGAGAGAGAGTAAGACTACCGAGAGTGGCAGCCGAACGCCGGCCTCAAAACCCGAACGTTCAGTATGAAGCCGCATCTCGCTCTGCGCACAACGTCGCTGCAGCTGATGCCTTTTCATAATATATGTATGTTAGTTCTAATTCCAAAAACATATGTGTGTAGGCGGTTCACCTGTTTTCATTGACTGTTCACACATTTGTGTCTTTTGCGGCCGCAAGCCAACCGCAAGCATGCCAAAAAAAAAAACAAAGACCGTGCCAGTTGCCCAAGTTTACGCACCCATTAATGAAAATATCTCTCTCACGACAAACCCTTGATCGGCTCATTCGCATACATGGGGCTCATTCGCATACATGGGGCTCACTCGTTGCAATTTATTGTGATTCGATCATTCTGCTGTTGGATGTATCTATGCATTGTATGGTTAGTGTAGTAACGTAGAAATAAGTTTATGATAAAATAATTTATATAGAAGTGTTTTTCGTCACTAGTTATCCAATTAAATAAGTGATTATATATTTAAAATATATACCGTATGGGAGGAGAGTAAGCGTTAAGACTGGGATTTGAAAGAGTTGATCCCGGGCAACTCCGACAATGCCTCGTTACCTGATTGTTTTGCAAATAAAATGGATTTTTAATCTTTTTCTTTCAGACGAGGGATTCTTGGCTGGAATAAATTATTTGAATTTGTAAGTAAAGAATGGCTAAAAGACATAAAGAGAAACCAACTGCCAAATATATTAAGTGGAATCGGACCAACTAATGCTGTTATACAACTGTGTAAGTATTATTTATGTCAATCTGAAATCAACATCGAATTTTCATATCGGATAAAAAATCACAATGGTAACAATCGGTACCCCGATTTATCGGATCATTTGAATCCGATTCATTGACGTTTCCTACAAATTTTTTAATTTTAAAAAAATGTGAAAGGCAATAAAGCATGTGAAATGTAATCAAAAATATTATTTTATCATTTTAAACTTTATTTTTACTTGTCCAAGCCCTAAAACTAAAATTATGTAAAATAATTAGCAATGTGCGGTTACGGCGTTAATTTAAATCTTGCCCAGAATCTAAAAAATGCGTATTTAGTGCAATATTATGCCATCCACAAAAAAATAACTAGTAAGAGGCTCTTGTCGGCAGCTCGCGAATAGTCGGTACCCTGACCCTCTCTACCAACACCTAATGCGGATCCTGCCATGTGCTCGTTTGCTTTAGCAGTTATAAAAACTTATTTAAAAAAGAAAAATAATTACTTCAATAGGGCTCGATCCCATAACAGACCACACAAATTACCACAGCCTCTACTCAACAGCCATACCACCAATTGACTTCTAGGGGGGGAAAAAACGAATTAAAAAGGAACACCCACACATCACAGACTACAATAAAATAGCAATTGCTATGCTATTGATAGAACTCAATAAAGACGCGCGTGAGGGTGTGTGTGCATCTATACAGAATAGTTATACAGCCCAAACACATATTCTTTAATAACTTCTCTGTCTCTTAACCGATCTTTGTGAAACAGTAGATCTTATTGTACTATAGAATATTCGTGTATAAAAGATAAATGCATGAGAATAATGGCTTAAGTTGGCGGGAAATTCAAATTGGTTTATTAGCTTGATTTGCAGCTATGTGGTGGTAGCGGGAATGTGGCGATAGCTATAAAATGAGAGATACTTGATGTATACATACTATCCTAGAAGCTACATGTCAAGTTTGGTGACACTAGGTCTAAAAAGATTTGCTCAAAAAACAGAATACAGATTTATATTTTAATCGATTACTGAGAAACGCGGAAAGTTATCGATTATCGGATACAAGGTCGTGCCGCGCGGGCATTAGGAGGACCTACATTGCAAATTTCAAGTCTCTAGCTCTTAAAGGTTTTGATATCCTTGTGCTCATACATACGGTCAGACGGAGAGACAGACGGACATGGCTAGATCGGCTGGGATATTGATGCTAATCAAGATTATGTGTGCTTTATGGGGTCGACGATGTTTCCTTCTGCCTGTTACATACATTTGCACCAATACATTATACCATTTTTACCCATTTTTAATGGCATAGCAGCTTAATAGTTTTAACTTTTGTATAGTTTTATTTGATTTTGTCTCCAGTACTTGTTAGCTTTTTATACCCTCCACCCATTGAAAATGGTACTATAGGTTTGTGCAAATTTATTCTTGGTCAAAATCAATAGTCGAGTCGATATAAGCATGTCCGTCTGTATATATGTATGTATGAACTATGAGCTAAGTATGTCAGTACTATTTATGAGCTAAGAGCTAGAGATTTAAAATTATAAACATTGTTTTTTCTAGTAGGATTAGCAACTAATTTAAATGCCGTTATCTTTTTACAATTTTACGAATATTCTATAGCACAATCAAATCTTCTGCAGAAAATATCAAACTCAATTTTTGGTATGGCTGTATGCTATAAGGCTATGGAAAGTACAGTAGTTCGGTCGGTTGAATATAGTTGCAAGTTCCACACCGAAAGAGGGCACCAATTTGAACATTTTTTTTATTGCTATCCTATTACCTATTTAAGTGGTGAAAATTGTTTAAAGCTAGAGCACATGAGCTCGACTATATCACTCTTATTTTTTTAACTTGCTGTAGATATGCGACGGACCGTTTGTCCGAAAGACCGATAATTTTTGAAAATTAAAACATTGAGTTAAAATCGATAATATTGGTTTTGCCTGACATTGATTAATCTATGTTTCTTACATTGTTGGTAAATATCCCTTTTGAAAAAAACTCTCAAAGCTGTTTGTCCTGACTGATTGACTAGAGGCGCATGATAAGACGTGGTTTTGGAAAATACTACTTGCAATTGTTGAAAAATCGTGAAACGTATTTCTCACTTAAGCTGTGTTCAAAATCATTTGACGGGTGCTTCTCACTTTTCGGAAAATTGTTTCCTCTATGGTGTAAATGAGGGTAAATGATTTGCTAGTTGACGGTTCGCATTTAAATGTAATATTCGATCGTCTTGAAAATCATCTTTAAAGATCTTTGTGGAAATTCATCTGATACGCGTTTCACACTTCAAAATATCCGCCCCTTTTAGATGAGATATGCCGGTTAAAGGTTATAATGGCGATGTTTTAAGTTTTGCCTCATTGGCCTTCAACTTATATATATATATATTTATATTAGTTCCACCCGCAACTGTAGTAAAATTTCGGAAAATTTTAAACTTTTTAGTTTACCATCTGATCGCCCTTAAGCTCATTTTCAAATATATTCCATCCCCTGGAGATGATCGTTGGCCTGCTGATTGATGCCAGAAACGCAGTATCGTCTCCTTAAATTGTTGTCTAAAATATTAAGATCCGTGTTAAGCGCTGGCCCAAGGACACTGCCCTGAGAGACACCATCCCGAAGGGTGCGCATTCCGGATTATCAACTGAAACACATATATTAACCGAGTGGTGGCTAGTATCGAAAAGTAATGAGGAAATTGATTAAATAAGGAAAAAATTGTTTTAATAAATATACATATCGGACAGTGCAGGAATGTGCTAACATGTAACTATATGTTTATTTAATAAACATAAACAGAAGATTTTGGAATACAAGGACACGAATGGCACCTTAGCTTGTTTGTATCTGCGATTTCCTCCTTATACATTTGAGCCGGGCGACAGCCTGGTAATTCCGTGTAGTTCGGGTCGACCGGTGCACCGTTAACGATTTTGCTGCCTCTAACGAATTTAATATGGGGATGTTATTGCCGTGTACCGAGCGGTACGACGTTGCATGACGTAGACCTAGATTTACCTGGTGCAAGGGAGTTGACGATTTCGTTAGTACACTTAACTTTGCGATTGTGCTAGAGCAAAGATGCTCTTTCGCCAGCACTTTTTACTTTGCGATAATGCTGGTGCAAAGGTGCTAGAGATAACGCTGGTGAAAAGGGGTTTGCTCTTTCGCTAGTGTAAATAATACTCATAGTTAACTTAAACAAATTATAATTTTATAACAAAAATTGCCTTCTTCTTATCTTACCAACTAATAACCTTATAATTAAGAAGTTGCATTGCTTTTTGATGGAGATCGAGCAGCAACTCCCTTTGATATCGACTCTGAAATTAAAAGTTTATGTTTTATTTGATATGCTTTTTAAATAATACATACCAATTAACACTGAATAAAAAATATATATTAATATTATTGCAAATACATACCCAATACAATAATTATGAGTTTATTTAATGTTATCCAGTTAAGTAAAATTCGCACATGCAACTCATAGCTTCTGCCAGACAGAATCACAACTAAAACGAAACTACACCATTAACAAAATCTAGGGAACTCGGCTACTTTTTATTGTTCGTCATCAAATTTCTAAGACGAAGCAAAGACCTCGCAATAAAAAAATCTTTAACATTTGAACGCCCCGGCGTGGTCGGAGCGCCCATGCGTTGGCCCTCGTCGATTATCTCATTGCTATGGAATATAAACGAATCGAATATTCCAACCCCTGCACGTAAGAATTCGGTGCGCTCAGTCGGTTACCAATTTCGCGGCGTATCCCCAGCTCGCCTTTGTGGTTCCGTAGCAACATCAAAGATCCAATGCGTGGTCGCCACTCTCGCCCAAAGCATACTAGATGTTTTCTTGCACCGTCTGGAATATTTCTTACAGTCGTAAGAAGCCTTCGATTCTGGCTTAATTGCAAGTTTTTCAGCACCAGGTGTGACTTTACGACCGGCGTCACTCGTGTCCCGTGACAAGGAAGGTCGGGTACTGGGTGATCATCGTTTGCTCGGTTTGCTTTTCCTGGCGGACTTTAGTGTGGTAGTCTGGTAAATTAGCAGTTTTCCCGCTGGTGTTTATTGTTCTGCCTTGAATCCCGGACTAACATCATAAGTCATTAATGACAGTACCAGCATTTGTATTCTGGCCCAAGTCAAGCTTTAAAACGCCTAAAGACTGTCCATGTTCGGCAGTGTTAGGGACACCTTGTTGTTCGCAGTCACAACTGTATAATTTCTAAGCCTTGTGGCAATCTTTTCTCTATTTTTTCCGTGTTACGGGATTTCCTTGCAGACTAGAATTCGCCAGTATCCTGTAAAGTATTATTTTTAAAAAGTTAAAATGAAAATAATAGCACGTCAGTGCTGTTTCGCTTTGATGTTCAGAATGACTTTATTTCAATTTAAAGACATGTGCTTAGCCTATGTATACATGTATACTTATGCTGTTATCGGTTAAAAGCTACAAAGAGAAGCAGAGCGGGTCTCACGCTGTCTTGGCCTGCTCAAGTGGCATCAAGTTACTTATGTGCGCAGCACTGTATGTATGTATGCGCATATGTATGTGCATACATATATACGAATTTATGTATGCTATGCGCTTGAGTCTGTCCTTTTATACATATTTGTTTATACTTGGAACAAAGTGTTACAAGTTGAGTTATGTATTATATGTATGAATACACTACACCTCCCTTTTTAGAGAAATAACAAGAAATAATTGATTAAAATATTTGGATAAAAGGATTTGTTAGATTAAAAGCGTTTTTTGACCTTTTAAGAATCTTATCTCAAGTGGGCGTGTGTGGATGGTATGAAGTTTTAATAAAGGTTTAACAAATTGATGAGCAACACGACTGACTTATATGATGATGCTTACAGAACTGATTTCTTAACATAAATTAAGATTAAAGGCACCGAGCAATTAGAGAGTTCGAAAGAGAGCGAGACTTCGTACATGTGACGACAGTGCTTATGTGCTTATGACATT